GGACACAACTAAGAAAGAGAACTACAGACCAATATCCCTCATGAACATTGATGCAAAAATTCTCAATAAAATACTGGCAAATCGAATCCAAAAACACATCAGAGAAATCAACCACCATTATCAAGTAGGCTTCATCCAAGGGATGCAAGGATGTTTCAACATATGAAAGTCCACCAATGAAATCCACCATATAAACAGACTGAGGAAAAAAATCACATGATCATCTCACTAGATGCCGAAAAACCTTTGACAAAATCCAACACCCCTTCATGATAAAGGTCTTGGAGAAATCAAGAATAACAGGAAATACCTCAAAATAATAAAAGCAATATACAGCAAGCCGACAGTCAACATCAAACTAAATGGAGAGAAACTAAATTGGATTCCTCTAAAATCTGGAACAAGACAAAGCTATCAACTCTCTCCATATCTAGTCAATATTGTCCTTGAATTTATAGCTAAAGCAATAAGAAAACAAAAGGAGATCAAGGGGATACAAGAGGGAAGGGAAGAAGCAAAACTTTCACTATTTGCAGATGATATGATAGTTCACAGATGATATGATATTCTATATAAGTGACCCACAAAACTCTACCAGGGAACTCCTACAGCTGATAAACACCTTCAGCAAACTGGCAGGATACAAAATTAACTCAAAAAGTCTGCAGCCCTGATACATACCTGTTACGATAAAGCTTTCCATCTGCCTGCCGAGTTATATACTGATGACACATTGGTGGAGAAAGAAATCAGAGAAACATCACCCTTTACAATTGCCACAAAAAAACATAAAATACCTTGGGGTAACACTAACCAAAAAAGTGAAAGACCTGTACTGTAAGAATTTTGACTCTTGATGGGCACTGGTGGCACAAGCCTATAATCCCAGCACTTGGGAGGCAGATACAGGTGGATTTCTGTGAGTTCGAGGCCAGCCTGGTCTCTAGAGTGTGTGCCAGGATAGGCTCCAAAGCTACACAGAGAAACCCTGTCTCGAAAAACCAAAAAAAAAAAAAAAAAAAAAAAAGAATTTTGACTCTCTAAAGAAAGAAATTAAAGAAGATACCAGAAATTGGAAAGGTCTTCCATGCTCTTGGATAGGTAGGATTAGCATAGTAGAAATGGCAAACTTGCAAAAAGCAATCTACAGATTCAATGCAATCTCCACAAAAATCCCAACACAATTCTTCACAGACCTTGAAAGAATAATTCTCAACTTTATATGGAGATACAAAAGGCCCAAGGATAGCCAAAACAATCTTGTACAAAAAAAGAACTTCTGGAGGCATCACCATCCCTGACTTCAAGCTCTATTACAGAGCTATAGTCCTGAAAACAGCTTGGTATTGGCACAAAAATAGACAGGTAGACCAATGGAATAGAGTTGAAAAACCTGATATTAACCCACACACCTACGAACACCTGATTTTTGACTAACAATCCAAATTTATGCGATGGAACAAAGAGAACTTTGTGCTGCCATGACTGGATGCAAACATGTAGAAGATTACAAATAGATCCAAGCCTATTTCCATGCACAGAACTTAAGTCAAAATGGATCAAAGACCTCAACATAAACCCAGCCACACTAATCCTATTAAAAGACAAAGGGGGAAATACCCTTGAGTTAATTTGGTACAGGAACATTACACCAGCAGCACAGACACTGAGATCAACAATTGATAAATGGGACCTCCTGAAACTGAGAAGCTTCTGTAAGGCAAAGGACACAGTCAGCAAGACAAAACCAGTAAGACAAAAATGGCAGCCCACAGACTGGGAAAAGATATTCACCAACCCCACATCTGACAAAGGGCTGATCTCCAAAATATACAAAGAACCCAAGAAGCTAGTCGCCAAAACACCAAATAATCCAATTAAATATTGGGTTACAGAACTAAATAGAAAAATCTTAATAGAAGAATCTAAAATGGCTGAAAGACAATTAAGAAAGTGCTAAAAATCCTTAGCCATCAGGGAAATGCAAATCAAAACAACTCTGAGATACCATATTACTCCTGTAAGAATGGCCAAAATAAAATCACCAACGATAGTTTTTGCTGGAGAGGATGTGGAGAAAGGGGAACACTTCTTCAATGCTGGTGGGAGTGCCAACTTGTACATCCACTTAGGAAATCACTATGGCAACTCCTCAAGAAAATGGGAATCAGTCTACCACAAGAACCAGCAATTCCACTCTTAGGCATATACCCAAAGAAGTACATTCATACAACAAGGACATCTGTTCAATGATGTTCATAGCAGCACTATTTATAATAGCCAGAAACTGGAAGCAGCCTAGATGCCCCTCAACCAAAGAATCAATAGAGAAAATGTGGTACATTTACACAATGGAGTACTACTCAGCAGAAAAAAAAACCACAATGGAATCTTGAAATTTGCAGGAAAATAGATGGATCTAGGAGAAACCATTCTGAGCAAGGTAACCCAATCACAAAAAGACAAACGTGGTATGTACTTACTTATATGTGGATTTTAGACATAGAGTAAGGATTACCAGCCTACAATCCACACTGCCAGAGAAGCTACTAAACAAGGAGGGCCCTAAGAGAGACATACATGGTCCCCTGGAGAAAGGCAAAGGTTCAAGATCTCCTGAGCAAATTGAGAGCATCAGTTAGAGTGGGGGAGCTAGGAGAATGAGAAGGGAAGAAAAGGAGGAATGCAAAGGACATGAGGGAGCAGAAAGGTTGAATTAGGGGGAGAATATATGATAAGAATGCGGATACCATAATAGAGGGAGACATTTTAGGTTTACAGAGAAATCAGGCACTAGGGGAATGTCTGGAGATCTACAAATGATGCCAGCTAAGCAACAGAGGAGAGGTAACCTTAAATGCCCTCCCCTGATAATGAGATTGATGACTGACTTATATGCTACCCAATAGCCCTCATCCAGCAGCTGGTGGAAGTAGAAGCCAACACTCATAATTTATCACTGAACTGACCTTGTATCCCAGTGCATAGAAGGATGAATGAAGATCAAAGGGGTCCAGACCACACTGGCGAAACACACAGAAACAAGTGACCTGAACATCAGGGAAGTTTGCTGCCCAGTCTGATAGCTGGGATACCATCATGGGACTGATCCAGACCCCAGTAACTTGGATTTCAATGAGGAAACCTTGAAAATCTACAGGACCTCCTGTAGTAAGTTCAGTATTTATCCCTAGCAAAATCACAAGAAAGAAACAGTTGAGTATTTTACCTCTAATGTCAAGTAAACTTTATTTATATAAAAGATTTAATATAAACATTATGTCATAGACACCAGAAATAAAACATAGGTAAATCTTCAGTTGCTGCAAAGTATATGCAATATCTGAAACAGAAGATCCCCAGGCTAGAGAAAAAAATAAAAAAATAGAAATAGAAGCAAGCTACTAAAATTGCTTACTGTCCCAAATATGAGAAATGGTGGCATATCTATATTATATATGGTATCATGAAAGTCAAATTTGTGAGCAAATAATCCAGGGGAAATGTTTCACAGTTGCAAAAACAATTATGTAGGACATAATTATAAGACAATGAAGAAATTATAAAAATAGGTGTTGATAGGTATTACCAGTACATTATTTGATAATTTTCATTTCTTAATGAATATCCACTTTGTACATAATCTTTTAAACCAACCGCATTTTGAATATAAACTATTAGAAGTACTCTAATTTTCTTTTTGTGACAATGAAAAACAAAATTGTATTACTGTTAAGTAAATGGACTGGACAACAGCAATGACAACAGGAATTGCTGAAGGAGGGTTAGACTCACACTAGTTAATTAATACAGAGATAAAAATTAGCCTTATTCTGTAGCCACCTCAAGCTGCACACTTCATTGTATTTGTGTACTGTTATCAGATTTTCTTTCTGAAGAAATTATTTTAATATTTACCTAAGTGTTACCCTGAGAGACAGTTTTGCACTGGTTTATCGAGTTTTCTTTTATCCAGCTGTTTTCTACAGCAATTCCCTGATCTTTTTCTATGTCCCACCTCAATGAAAATCCTGCTGATCGATCCAAACCACTTTGACATTGGATGGGTCACTTTCTGTGTCAGAGCTGATTGATACTAATTGCAGAGAAGCATCTGTCTCCCTTTGCTCTTCTTTCTTCTTTTTTGAAATAGACTTTAAAGAAGCAAAAACGTCAGTTGAATCGGTTGGCTTCCAGTTGTTTCTGTATTTAATTATCAGGACATGCATCCTGTTTGTGAGAGAGCCTGGTGATGCCAAACTCACTCTAATAGGCAAAGCAACATCTTCCAAGGGCCCTTCATTCCTTCTGAATTGCTGCACAGGGAGAAGTTTCATCAATTTTTCTGACATTTAGTGGAAAATAAAAACTCCTGATTAGAGTTCTACATACGGTATATCTTCATACCTCCAATGCCCTTTAGATTACTACAATTGCTTCTTTATGATTTTTTCACATGTCTGAAAAAGCAACAGGCATGGTTGGAAATGCTCACTTTCAGTTCATAGCTATGTTTTCTTTATCTCTTTCTTCTTTTGAAGTCTATGAATGAAATTATAAAAGCTGAAGATATGAGAATGTGCATTGATTGCAGTTACCCAAAAGTAAATGGGATTTTTTTTGTCTTATTGTTGTGTGACAAGTCATACCCGATCAAGAATAAAATAAAAGTAATGCCTGTGGAAAATATGTGTACTAATAACATCACTTAAATAATTCCAATGTTGATATAAAAAATTCTGAAAAAAAATCCAACAAGTTAGATACTGAAACATTTATAAATAAGTACAAATCATGACTAAATAAGTTTGGCCTTAGGAATGTAAAAATAGTATACATCTGCATGCTTAATAAAATAGACATATCTTCTCAATAGCATATAGCAAAGTTGCAATAATCTTAGGTCATACTTAAAACCATTTGAGCAATTCAATGTTTTCATTACAACAGTGTTAATCAAGTAAAATAAGTGTGCTTTTTCAACCTGATCTGTGAAATCATGATAGTATCTTATTTAATGTTGTAATACTAAATGACAACTGCTCTAAGACTAAGAACAAGACCTGAAGTCCAAACAGTAATTGTGCTGAAGTTATTGTTAAGGGTACCTAAGAGAAAGAAATGCCAGGTGAAAATGATGAGATAAAAATTTCATATGATAAAGAGTCACATAAAATGAAGGGTGATTTTTCTACCCTGGAATGGAAAGACAGGTTTACCTTTTTGTACTTGGGGTTTGCAGGGTAACTATGCTGTCACTGTGTGACATATAGGCACTAGAAACTTATTGAATACAAAAAAGCAAGATGAAATTTTTTTTGTTTTTGTGTTTTCTCTTTAGGGACCCACCAAGCAGCTCCCCAAAAAATACACAGAGACTTATTCTTACTTATGAATGCCCAGCCTTATGTTGGTTTGTTGCTTCTATCCAGCTTTTATAACTTAAATGATCAGCTTTCTCTTTCACTGATTTGCCTCTGAGATTTTTACCTTACTTTATTCTATATAACTTTCTATCTTACTCTGTGACTGAGTGTCTGGGTGTCTGGCCTATGGAGTCCTCCTCTCCTTTTCTAATTTTGTTCTCTCTTCACTAGATTTCTCCTCCTATTTATTCTCTCTGCCTGCCAGCCCCACCTATTTCTCTCTTCTGCCTAGCTATGCAGCTCTTTATTAGACCAATTGGGTATTTTAGACAGGCAAAGTACCACAGCTTTATAGAGTTAAACAAATGTAACATAAAAGAATGCAACACATCTTTGCAAAATTAAGCAAATTTCATAGAATAAATGAATATGACACATCTTAAACTAATATTCTACAATAATCAGCCATGTGAGCTGACAGTTCTGCTCTAAATACTCTGGGTAGTCTAGTTCCATCGAGTTTCCTTGGTTGTCTGTCTTGAATAAGTTATCATAGGCTGATGTGATGCTAATTGGATACTGCTGTCCTGGCTGTGTGGTTAGTACACTTGGAAACTTTGCAGTGGGATGCCTCACTTTTTCTGGGAGTCTGCCCTCAGTCTGTATTCCCTTGGATGACTTTATTGTTCATAACTGAGCCAGAATGTCTCATAGTGATGATGATTTCAGGCATGTTTGTGAGAGATCAAGAAAATTCTGAAGCATGTGGAACATCTTGGAGCATCTACGTATTTAGAAGTGGCTTTAGAATTGGGCCAGTTTAGAGTATAGAGTGTTTGTAAACTTTTGCTGGTCTTATTTCATGATTAAAATCACAGAGAACAGCAACATTGGTGCAATGTTCATGCCCTTAGAACTGGCAATGGATGTTTGTAAATTAAGCAAAACATGGGACACAAAAGAAAAAATATAAATTTGTACTAGAATAGCTAACATAATTATTCTTATTTTAAGATAAATTATTCATAGAAGAAATGTAATCTATCTATTAGAAGTATCAGTATTTATCCCTAGTACCCAAATGGACTTTTGGAGCCCAATACAAATAAAGGGATACTCTCTGAGCCTAGATACATTGAGAAGGGTCTAGGCTCTGCCTGAAATGATATGACAGACTTTGAATATTCCCCCATGGAAAGCCTCTCCCTTCTTGTAGAGCAGAAAGGGGATGGGATAGGGGGTTGGTGGGTGGCAGCAGAGGAAGGAAGGGAGAAGGAACTGGGATTGATGTGTAAAAGAAGCTTATTTCTAATTTAAATTTTTAAAAAAAAAAGATAATCTGACCTTCAGCTCATTGTTTTACATATATTTTCTTCATCCTCATATCTTCTGCAAATGCAATTAACAGTGATTTTCATAAAATAACATCCTTACAGACTCTTTCATCTTTTCTACTCTAAAATTCTCCTTTCATGATAGCCAGAGAAGACTGAAAAGGTGTCTTAGAGTTTATGAAACTTGCTGCTCCGTGGAGGACATAGGTTCATTCTGAGAAGTAACATGGGGAGTGGGGTTCACAGCCATCTCTAACTCCAGTTACTAGGGATCTAATGCCCTCTTTCTGGCCTCTGCAGGAACCACAAACACACATGGTGCATATACATCATACAGGAAATGAAAAATAAATGAAAGTTACAGTTTTGAAATGTAAATGAACTTTTCCTACTTGCTTAATATTTAGCAAGTTTCCTCCTTAGGAATATGTTCATGACTTTTACTCCCTTACCCATTGGATTTATGTGGCTGTATTGGCCTTCCTTCTTGGTTTTAAGTTTACAAAGCTATGCCTTATGTCATTATCTTTTTGCTTGATTTCTCTTTTTTGTTTTTTTTTTCCCTGTTTTTCACAGTGGAATATATCTTAAATGAAATTTCATTGGACATTCTCTTCAATGACTCCATTTCCCTATTATTTTCTTGTCATTGAATACATAATAATTGAAGTCCTACTCTGTGCCAAACAGTTGTAGGCATTTTAGTTATATGCATACTATAATTTGGCTTCATTTTTATCAGGACTTCTAATTACAGTGTTTATATCTTGACTTGACTATCCATAGCTTCCTTGCCAAGACTTCTGGTTTTGTTCTCTGAAGTCCTTTCACATAGTCTAATGCTAGGCCACATAATATCTACTCCATGATGATTCTTTTAATGATATACTGTATTCAAGCCTTATAAATATAACTTTTCTGTAAGATAAGCTAAAGCAGTGTATTGTATTGAGTATGAAAAAGAGTGCTAACGAAAAGGGGTCTTCCATTCTAACCTATAATCTGTTTAAAATCCCATGAGTTTTACTTCCCTGTACAGTACTTTAGCTAATGATATTTATTAAAATATTGCCATTGGTCTACCAATGTGATTATTGACTTTGCTAAAGCCAATAGAACTATTTTAAATGAATTCTTAACTTATGATTAACCATACGAGTCATTATGCTATGTTATTTAATGGAAGTCTTCATACAGAAAAATGGCATTATTTTACTACAACCCACAGGACAAAACAATTGTGAGATCAGCACTCAGAGAGTCCTCTTGGTAGACAGATACACATTTAATCTGGATCTTATAAAAATATTGACTTCCTCAAAATTATCCTGGGAGAGAACAACTTCAGCACAGTTTTGTTTTATAAACTTGTTCTGTTTTTTGAATCCTTGGATTCTGTACAATTCTTTGATTTTAAGACTACTTTCCTGGTTTATCTACACATGATTCCCTTAACTATACCTCCTAAACCCTGCAACACAGTCAGCAGGCAGCTTTGTTCTAAACACAGCTGCTGGAAGTGAATTTAAGAAAAGAAAGTTTGAGATGTGGATTTGAAAATCTGAGGACCTTTGAGGAGACTGGATTTAAATAGGAGCTAGTAAAAACAAGGCAATCCACAATCCTTTGACAAGCTTATCTCTGGATTAAAATAGGACATGGCTGAGGAAGGGTATGTTCATGTGTAATGGTAACACCATGAAATTTAAGGGGTCAACTTAATACAGAATCTAATAATATAAAGTATTTGACTAGGACATATATCATCAAATTTAGCTATTTACGATAAGACCAAATAAAAATTTTGAAAGTTTTGTTCATATGAAAAGGAAAGGCTGAAGTGTATGTTTTCTTAAATTTTGTTCCTAAATCTGTCAGTATAGTAAATAGAGTATTACGACAAATTCTAACATAAATGCATTTATACTTTAGATTTGTTTTAAAATCTAAGTATCTTTTGCTCCCCCCAATAACATTATCCAATATCTTATACAACAAAAAGTTCAGTGGTCTGATTTACCTTAACAGTAAGGCTCCAAAGCTGCCTGAGCCCTGCTGCCATGTGGGTGCTTTCCTCCAGCCACCTGAGTTCTGCCTGCCACTTTAGGGCCCCAAATAATACACAGAGACTTATATTAGGTACAAATGCTGCTTTTCAAAGACTAGGATTTCTCATCTTCTGGCTCAGTCTTAATTACCTACCATAAACCATAAGACTTATCTTATGGTGGACACCTTCCACTGGCGTCCTCATCCTGGGATCAAATGGTGGCTCAGAACAGAGAGCAGGAGGAAGAGTAAGAGAAAAGCTTTCTGTTTGTCCCTGTTTATATATGAATCTGGTTACTATGTCACTTCCTGCCTGGATCCCTACTACATTTCCCAGAATCCTCCTTGACTCCTAGTCACCTATCTTGCTTTTCTATTGGCCAACAGCACTTTATTTATCAAACAATAAGACAAACATACACATAAGGACCTATCCCATCATCAATTTTCTGTCTAAATAAAATGAAGGGTAACTTATCTTTTATAATAACTGAAGAAAACTATAGCCATAACTATCTGTCTTCCACTCCATCAAAGACCACAGAAGCATAATATATAAACTCTAGAATTGACAGTGACATCTCGGTACCTGGACAGTCACTC